ATTAAAGCCCGTGGAGCAACGTGGCCAAAGTAGACGGACCTAGAATGAGGAGAGTCGGTGAGATCAGACAAACGTCTCGAAATGAATCAGGCGATACGATGCTCAAAGGACAGACGGGAAAGGCAGGAGGGGAAATGTTCGTGTCCTGCAGTGAGGCACGTGTCTGTGGAAAAATAAATGTGTTGAAAAGTGGTGACACTGGTGCAGACAATTATCGTGTGTGACAACACGGCTGCACTGTATCAGAACGGGAACATCTGAGTGCTGACCCAGGTTACCAAGTGCGTGCTGGAGTAATTCTATATTTTGCACAGGCTGGCCTATGCCCTTGGTAGCATTAGTTGTGGTTGAGTCCAAATGAAGAGGATGCTAAGTGTATTTTGCATGTTGACTTTGGGATTACGTATCAGTACTGCTTCAAAGCGTTGTTTTTGTTTAGCCCTTACCAGGTAAGAGGAAATTGAGATTGTGACTTGTCTTTTGTGAGGAAGTCACAGGAAGTCTATTTTATTTTTTAAGAAGAAAGCATGTATACACCGCTGTTTATACTGCGTCACTGAAAGAAAATCTAAAGTGATTTTATTGATTGCTCACATGTGAAATTACAGGAATGCACTGTCGAATTTAGCTGTATTTATATTTTTCTGCAGTGTTTGCGTTATTTAGACAGACATAGACTTTGCACACGTGTAAACTGCATCTTCTCAAGCAGAAAGCCACAGTCATAGTGTCATTTAAAATTCTAGCTGGTCTATTCAATTAATTACTTGTTAGTTAAGCTAAATCTCTGGATTGAAATGCTTAAGACAGATTTTCCTGCACCACAAAGCAGGTTTCTTTACATGTGCCATGATCAGATCAGAAAGATCACCGCGATCGTTGAGCAGCTTATGAGAGATTCAACGTAAATTAACATTATGAGGTTAATGAATGACTCAATCAGCTAATGAAATGCCTACGCTATTTCTGATGGACACAATATCGCCATTAAAGAGTAAGTCATTGACCACACATCAGCGAATATAATGATTTGGTGATACTGCGTTGGCAGTGGTGCATGAGCATAATGTAATAAACAAAAAACTCAACACATTCGCCTTATATATGTACGGTACAATAGGTGACGTTCCGGGCATTGGCCCTTCTTCATCGCATTATTTGTTTGTTTGTTAAGTGAGCGGTTTTCCGGAGGCGGGGTTACCGGGCTGACGATGCAGGGCACGAGGTGGAGGCTTTTTGACTCGTGAATCATTGACCGGGTTAACAGCACAAACCAGCTGCCCTCTAACGATCCACTTCCTTGGCTGTATAACCTGTGCTCTCCTTGTTTGTGTAGGGGTGTTACGGAGGGGGTGTTATACAGTTGTGTCGGACGGTAAACAAACACACTGGGCGTGGCTATGTCTGTGCGCGGGGAGGTGCTCACAGCGACGTCCGCACCGTTCAGCCTGGGGGGCTGACACGGAGCTGGGATCCCCCGCGGCCCCACCCCTCAACGGGGGAGGGATATATAAAGGGGTGAGCCGGAGGGCTCGGGGCAGTATGTATTAAGCTTAACCAGTGAAGAAGGAAGATCTACTAGATAGAGCCCTGGGACTCCCCTGGATCGCTGCCCTTCTCAGGGCCGACCAGGACCGAGCCAGTGGCGTGGCCCCGAGAGCCCAGAGCCGATGCTCTTGTCAGAGCCGGTCTGGGGACTCCGGGCACCGTAATCCCAGCTTAACCAGGGCTGGGTTAGCTAGCCTCCATTAGCCCGATAGTGGAGGACCTAGAGGTAGGCTAGGTGTAGCCTAGAGCGTGACTCCCCAGTTAGACGGGTGAAGGGGCCGACACCCCTGTATTGTACCTTGTACGGAATAAATAAGTGTGCCTCCAACCCCGGCGTCCAAGTCCTCCTGAACGTTATTACATTTGTGTGGTCAGTGTCCGCATTCTCATTCAAATGAGCACGCAGTCGTCATATCTGCTGATGACCGTTGGAGAAAAGTCTACATGGCTGTGGCAGAGGGCCCAAGCACTGATGTAGTGCATGTATAATGTTATTGTGTTGGTTTTGTCTATTTGACTAAGGATGTGCTTTTGCATAATGCTCTCACCATTGGACTGTAATAGAAATTATTCATCGACAAAATGAACAAGTGACGAATATATTACTTCAATTCTCCACATCAACGCTTCGTGATTATTACGCGTTTCGTCTTCTTCAGCTAAGAAGGATTTCACACAGTGGCGGCTCCTGCAAAATCTCTCAGGGGGGGCAAATGTCTGGATGATTGATAAGGATAAGGTCCACCCATGCAATTGATAAATTAACAGCTTAAGCATGTAAAGGCAACTTCACTTCTTTAATATTAATGAAAAATAAAGTGACTCTTACAATACATCTTGTTTGTTTCTATACTCACTATTAAAACAAACCACTCAAGTTTCTTATATTAAAGATTCCACTAGGTGGCGAAAAATTATATTGTTGGATGAAACGTGCTTACGTATGATGACGTAAGCACGTATGGTGACGTAAGCACGTTAGGGCGAGCCCTCCCGGAAGCCATAGAGAATGCATTGCAGCGCCCCCGTTTGAAAAAAAACATCTTTGAATGTAAGTCTATGGGGCCACTCGGGGCGATTCTCAGCTGGAGGGAAATCGCCCAAAAAGAGGCGGTACTCCACAGAACGTAGCATGACGCTGATTGGACTATATCCAGAGGCACAGTGACGGCTAGCGTGACTCTGTGGTTGAATGACATTGGTGGTGCGTCACCCAATCGCCCTAATGAAGAAACCGCCCGTGATTTCGCACATGTGCTGTATTAGCTACCTCATGGCACAATATCCGACGTTTCACTCTACGTGCCAGGGCTTTCTTTAGTATACTGAAGTTTACACCATTGGAACCTCATTTGCCAGTAAAAAATATGATAATTGGTTTTTTACCCTTCTATCTGGCAACAAAACTGACACCTTTTTTTACAAGGAGTCATGTTTGCATAGACCACAATAACTGCAGTCATAATGCAAACAAAAAACATAACTCTGATAATGTATGCACTGTCCAGTGCATACATTATCAGTGCATACATTATCAAAGTTATGTTTTTGTTTGCATTATGACTGCAGGTATTGTGGTCTATGCAAACATGACTCCTTGTAAAAAAGGTGTCAGTTTTGTTGCCAGATAGAAGGGTAAAAACCAATTATTATACTGAAGTTCTTATTGACTTTCATTTCAAATGTACAACCCATTCAATACTTCGTTTTGGTCACTGTAATTCAATCGAACCCTTCATACTTACAGGGTGAAAAAAATGGTTACAAAGTTGTAAAGAATTTAGACTCGTAAAGATAATTTTCCGAGTAGTTTCTGCAAAAGGAGGAAGGGCTTTAACACAGCACCAGCAGTGTGTGTGTGGATCAGTGCAGGGGAGATCGTTTGCCATCGTGTGACAGTGGCCATTTGTGCTATAAGACAATATTCACACGTCTGGCTGCAGGTGAATTCCTCGTCAGATGACCTCAGCCAAAGGAAACTCGTCCGCAGGTCTCATCAGTGCTTGGTTTCTGAGCCGCAACCCGATCTCCCAATTCCCACTGAAACCATTCATCAGCGGTCAGGCTCTCCTTATCAGACTGGCTACAGCAGCTCATCCCCTCCGATAGGGCACACATTAAGTCGAATGACACCCGCGAAGCGCAAATACACAGCGTCGGCGCCTGTCACACATGACTGATGACTTAAAAGTGAACCGCCGTGGTCATGAACATATCTGCATAGCGAGCGTGCAGAAATGACACGTGCGGATCCCATAATCGCGTAAAAAAGTTATACATTTTAAAGATAAGAAAATTCTTGCCGGAGTCCGCGGTAGTAGGTGCTGTGTTATTTGCATAGATAAGAGTAATCCCCTGCCTTATCTGTGGCCATTCATTCTCGGAGTAATTAGTGAAGGCAGAATGTAATTGTATCCCACACTTATCAGAGGCCAATGAGACATCCCAGGCTTGGGACGACACAGCAGTGGTTGGTTGCTGAGTCCTGCCAATAGTGGGGCCAGTGGAATAGATGCCTGAGTCTTCTTGGTTCTTTCGGTAAAGTCACGTAAATAATTATTTCCATTCTACGTGACTTTACCGAAAGAACCAAGAAGATGAATCCCTGCAGTCACGAAAGCTTTAAATCGAAGATGCCTGAGTGTTAAGGCTTCCACTCAACATTTTTCCGGGAAACGTGTCAAAATGTGATGCGGTATATACCATGCAAGTGTAAAGTGCATTTATGCTGAAACGATCACGAGATGGTGCTCATCTCCCGTGGTTGACATTCCACATTCCTATGGTGAGGAGTAGTCACTCCACAGGACACCCACTGTTGGTTGATTGCCCACACATTGATTTATTGGGAGGATCGGCTGATACACAGCGGTGAAATATGTGCCTTGTATGAATTTGTTTACCACCACAGTGGCATAGCCATCAAGGGTGCAGGCGGTGCAACTGCACCAGGGCCCGTTTGGTGAAAGGACCCACAGGACAGATGGACCCAGGCATCAGGCATTGGCTTCCGGTTGCTGAACGAATACATTATAAGGTTGCATTCATCACACACAAAGTGCTTACCACAATTGAACCAAAATATGTTTTTTTATCTCGTCAAGGGCATAAACCATCAAGCGAACGGCGGTCCTCACAGTGGCTTTTGGCTAGCCATCGAACAGAGACGGTCACCGCATTGTTCGTTTTCAGATGCGCTTCCGCGGTCGTCTGGAACGCTCTTCTGATATGAGGAAGCCACCGGAGCTATGCACTTTAAAATTTATATTGAAAACGAATTTCTGCTTTTTGTTTTTAGTTTGTTATCCTTCCCCCGCAGCTCCGATTAGCGCGGTTGGTTACATACGGTGCGAAAGAACTTCAACACACATACAATCACGCTCCGTCACTGGCACACCGTGCCCAGTCGAATGGCGCAGCGCGGTGTGGCTGGTACGAGGCGTGCTCCGTACCTTGCATCCCTCGCAAGAGCTCACTCCGTAGTGGTAGCCGGAGGACTTGTCCTGGCACACGAAGCATGGCTTGTAGGTGCGTGGGGGCGGAGGCGGCGAGGGGGGGCTGGGCAGTAGCTCCTCCGAGCCGCTGCTGCTGCTCTGCGTATCGATGGCTGAGGGATGAAACCACAGCGGGAGGAGGTGGTCAGTCGCTCACCCAGGCCGTCGGCTTTCGGAGAAAATTTCCGTGAGGCTTAACGTTCATGTCAGAATTTTGTTGTTGTTGTCAAATAAAAGCAAGTTTTTTCATTTTTATATAAAAAAAATTTCACAGAGACTTGTTTATTTATTGTGAGTACCAGATTGTGAGATTGTTGCGTGTATCTCGGGAAGTGGCATTCTTTTTACATTCTGAAAAACAAAACAATCTCGAAAGAACACTAATGTGCAGACTATATAACAAACACATTTTATGTAATTATGGCAATGACGCCAGTGTTAATGCCTTACAAACCGTTGGTGGGATATCCACCAAAATGAGTGTAATTCTACACCGCTTAGAGACCACATGCAGGATAAAAGCCCCACTAAAAGAAAGGCCATCTCTTTGCTGGCCGATGCATCACAAGACAAACACCGCCCATTCTTTACTTGGTATTTGTACTTCTGAATCCTCGCAGCTGACGCTACGTTGTTCCAGACTGTCACGACGACACTTTACATGCAACCACGTGTAAACTAAGATCATTTTTTACATTCCCTTTGTGATCCCTCTAATTGCATGGGGTCTCCGAAGTCGAGCTGAATGTGGACGAGGCACGTAATTGAATCAAGAGGCTGCATGTGGCCAGCAAGACCCACTCTTCTCAGAGAGGAACAGGACCCGCCGGGCGCCTCCCATGAGCACTCATATGCCGCCACTGGCGCCGTCTCTACGAACTGTCTTGTTTGTGTTGGGCCTGGGCCACTGGCCTTCCTGGTGGCAGCCCCATCGTTGTGTCTGCCCACGCAGTCCCTCCGCCACGTCTACTCGCCTCCCCCATCTAACGCGTACCCCCCCCCCCCCCCACTCCACAAGGCTCGGGAAGCGAACAAAACTGCAGGGATTCATCTTCTTGGTTCTTTCGGTAAAGTCACGTAGAAGGGCAGTAATAAAATAATAAAAATAAAACATAATAAAATAATTCTCCCGACGTTTCGGCCACAACGCAAGCAGCCGTCCTCAGGTTATTTTATTATGTTTTATTTTTAGTATTGTATTACTTCCCTTCGACGTGACTTTACCGAAAGAACCGAGAAGATGAACCTCACCAAGGCTCGCAGCCACCCAAACACCCATGGCAGTGAGGGGCAGCTGGCCAATTCGTTGTCCACAGCGAGCGACTGTCAGACTTCTTATACGCTCAATACTGACCTTTTTTTCAAATACACAAGTCGTTAATAAGTCACTCGTCTTGCAACGAAGCGTTAGAATGTCTCGTCGGCCCTACTCGTCAGTTGTTGACTAGCGGAATAGCTCTATGAAAGTCACCGCAGCTCGCTGTTCAAAGCCAGACACGAAGGAACAGCTCTTTTGAATGGTGCAAGTGAGTCGCATCCATGCCTTTGCGGGGGGCTCAGAATCAGAATATTTATTTATAGCGGAGGAATCCGATGAGCTAGAAAGCTCTTTCCCACATGACCTGTTCGGGGCGTAGCGTTCTCCACACATCTCGCACGCGTTGCTTCGTCTTGCACTCACGAGGTGCAAAACGAGCTGATTCTGTGTGCCTTGTTAATGTGCGGCAGCCAAAATCCTCAGACTGGGCACGACAACCACCACAGCTTTCAGATATGATCTCTCTCCCCCCCCCCCCACCTTCTCCTGCTCTTACGGCAACAACCACATGCTGTCGTAATGGGGCTGTTAAAATATCAGAATATTATCGCAGCATGATGTGGAAGTCGGAATGGAGGGGGGGGGGGGTGACCGTCCCTGAAAGCACAGCCTCCTGGCTCAAACTGTGCGATGTTTCACCCGTCACCATATGCCTCGTATCCTGGAGTGGGTTGCTCGGTTCCTTTTTTCCTTTTGTGAGGAAGATCAGAGAGGGCTGGGTAGTAAAAAAGAGGATTATTTACAGCCCTATCTGAAGCTCTCTCTGGCACGGGGATGTAAGAGGGACCCAGTGGTAGCCCACACTACCTCCTCTTGGCACTCAGCGACGTGAAATGAATGAGCAGCCGAGGAAGGTATCCGTAAGGAAAGCTGTGACGCATTGCAACTGAAGGGGCCGTTGTGTTCCACATGCAGGGACGTGTCCCTGTCACGCGATTTTAAGGCGTTCTAAACATCTCCTTCGCTAATACGACCGCCACAACCACCGCCACCATCGACACAGAGCCTCCGCTTAAATTAATACAGGCAAAGCTAATTCATCACTGCCTGCTCATTGGTTTTTCAATTCTCTGCATCCAGGGCACAAGTAAATGCTTACTTTATAAATGTTTAATTAAAGAGTTACACATTTCTTTCCGGAGACCAGCAAACCACCGTGAGGGCCGCGGGCTTTTGAGATCATGTGGCGCTTGCGGCCACAATATAACAGGCGATTACTTTTGCTGCGTTTTGTGAAAGCGAGCCGCGACTTTAGCCGCGTGCGGTGAGAAACCCGAGAAGGCGAAAGGACGCGACATGAAAAGAAGAGACTTCACGCGGCGTGCACCACGCAGCTGGAAAACGCCTCGCCTGGCCACCAAACTCGCTGCCTGCCCGCGCGACGGTGACTTAAGCGAGGTGACGTTCAGGGGATGAGGAATTGGGTGGGGAAATGCGCTTCAGTGCTCATAATCGATGTATTAAACCGTAGCTGGGCTGCTGACAATTTTTTGACCGTTTCAACTCGCGTGCATTTGCTTTTGTCTGCAGTTAAAGAGAGAACAATGGCGCGCGCAATTCACGTGAGTATGATTTCGACAAACGCTGATTGCGTTTTTCCACGACATATTACCTGGAACGGGCAACATCAGGACATGGACCGTAATATCGCAGAGGCCTTTTGAGCACAATCACATTCTGTGCGTCATTCATTCAAAGTCACTCTTAGAGCTCCCCTGCGGTCTAGATATGCAGTGCATCATGAGTGATATAGTTGAAAGGGCAATTTAAAAAATGCTCTGCCATTGCTCTTGTTTTGCACGCAGCTCGTTTGATTAAATGCCGCATTTGACGGTCAAACGAAATCGGAATTAGTTGTGTGCACCGGCCGTTTCCTTATCCAACCCTTCTCTCAGCACGAAGTAGAAATACCTCCCATCCCTGCCCAATCCAAGCTCTCTGTTTGCTCTTAGGCTATGAAAGAACAGTACATCCTTTGCCCTCCACCTGAATTAAAATCCTTGAAAATCTTAGAGATGTGCGATTCAAGACGCCCACTGTAACTGGAAACCGTAAATCTAAAAAAATGAAACTCTTTCCCAATCAGAGGTAAAAAAAGGAAGACCAAATGAGTTTCAATGATAGGATCAGATTGATGGCCACCAATTTAATTACATTCTTAAATCCCCATCTACTTTGCATGACAAACAGATCATGATTTATTGAACGATCATGAATTTTATATCACCGCATGTGTTAGACGGTTGTACTTATCCCTATCTTGGGCCCAGGACATGCAGTGTGCGTGCATAAGCGAGACATTATTTTTAGAAGGAACACAATACCCGGCACACGATCTCGTCCAGCATGACATAAAACATGCAGCACATTACACCTTGCCAGAGCGCAAACAAACATGCACAGGCACAACCGCCGCCGTGTCCAAAACATAGCAAGCACGGAACCTGTTTCGTCAAGAAGAAACATTCCTTCCGAATGCAGAGACAAACTCTATTTACTGAACACAGTACACCAATAATATGTGCACACACATATATATATTACATGTGGCCATGTGTGTTTGGGCATGTATCTATATATTTAAGCGCACGTGAACTTGAGACTTGGAAAAAAAAATCGTCTATTGTCTGCAAGACCAAGGCTCATTGTAGGCAGGCCTGTAAGCGTGACCTTGGTTAAAGGTGGGGGTACACACAATCTCAGGGGAGGGCACAGCGCAGTCAATGTTGAACACACTTCATGAATGTTGACTATACGAATTGAGATGGGGGGGGGGGTCTAAGATCTCAACGGACGTGGGGGGCTCAGCCACCTACAGTTTTCCCCTTTCCCCATTCAATACATAACAGCTAAACAGTGTGTCAGGTGAGAAAATTAAAGATGTCAACTATTGCCACGAACACACGATTCATCCCTTGTGAGCTATAACAATTCGCAACAATGCTGTCTATGGCGTGGCCTACTCAAGGATAATAAAAATAAACATTTCAACAACAACAATAATAATAATGACACATTTTTATATGCTTCTCAGAAGGTCTCTTTGCCTACCGAGCAGTTCATACAAGAAGCCCGCACGCAGCGAAGTGCGCATGGGGAGGGTGGCCAGTGTGAGTTTTAGAGTGCCACCACCAGTACCAGAAGCAGCAGCAGTGACCAAACCCTTTCCTGTGGGGAGGCTGGAATCAAGCGGACGTCAACAGACATGTGTGTTGAGATCAGACGAACGCGTGCAAGCGTTCGCACTCCGGCATTGTATACCCCCCCCCCCCCCGCTACGTCCGTGGAAAATTCAAAACAGCACCTGGCGAGCTGCGGTGAAGAGAAGAATGAGACACAGACACACGACACAGTCCCCAGTGTGCGTGTTGATGTGTGCTGCGCACACTGTTTCGGTATTCATCTTGAGACAGACAAAAATGCATTTAAAGCGACATGGCCGTGAAGTTTCAAAAAGAGGCAGCCAAGGTGAGGGAGATGTACAATCCGCACCCGTCACAAAAGCACGGCCTTTCTCCCAGCGCTGGCATGTCGAGCCACATAACCTCTTTTTGCACGAGCCAGGAGATGTTCTAAAATTAGATTATTTTTTAAATCCTTTATATTAAGTTCACTTGCTTGCTTGCTTACGACCGTGCAAATCTTTCGGTCGTTTTTAACCCACTTCCCGTCATCCAATCGAGCTGACATTTTGCACACAGACTCGTTGTGCGTGACAATTAATTCTCGTGAAAAATTTTTTTTCTAAAATTTTACACTGTTTAGGGAAAAAAAATATTTAATTACCAATTGCTT